AGTTTGACTATAGTAACTGAGGTTATTTGAAAGAAAAAAGTCAATGATGGAGGACCTATGGTAACCAAAATATGTTGGTTCATCAGAAGCATATATAACATAATTTTTTAATTTGGATCAAATTGAAAATTTCAGTACCTTTTCTATTGCTTGCACCAGGATTCCAACATTGATGTTTCGCATTAAAATCACCACCTAAAAGAGAGGAATAATTAGAGTCCAAAAGATTTCAGCCATAATTGGTTTATGATTCGGTGGAATATAAATATCGGAGATTATGAATTTTTTAAATTCAATTTCAATTTCAATAGAATTACTCTCAAAAGAAGTAGATTGGTTTTGTTTAAGTTGATGCTGTATACTCCTTTTAACGAAAGTAATAATTTCACCTCCTCGCCCTGTAGTTCTATCAAATCTGAAAGTAGCATAATTTGCATAAAGTACTTTGTTTGCAGGTTGTAAGTGAGTCTCTTGTATTAACAGAACATCTGGTTCTAATTCAAGAATAAGATCACCCAATTCATCCTTTTTGTTATTTAAGCCATTTGCATTCGAGGAAATAATTTTAAAGCTTCTCATATTGATGTTTTTTCATCGATGAATTCAAGCATGTGTTGCCGCCAGGGGCGGTTCGACCAACTACTACAAGGGCTGTAAATTAAGTAATGGCAACATAGGTATAAATCAGTTTTTAATAAACTTACAAGTAAAATTGCATTACAGTCCTTCTATGTAGTCACCAGCAAAGCTTATAACCTTTTGCCAAATGTCGGGAAGCAGTTGTAGACCAGTGGCAAGGTGTTGATTGTTGATGTGAACGACCAAGCGCCCTACTGCATGGAGTACAGATGAAACATCATGAAATCGACGACCTTGGAGGGATTCCTTCAACTTCGGAAACAGATCGAAGTCACAAGGACTCATGTCAGGTGAGTAGGGAGGGTGTTCTAGGATTTCCCACTGCAACGGTCGCAAAAGGAGAGTGACATTAGACTAGAAGAGAAACACGCTTATGTGACAATCAAAATCGTAAAAACAACCTTGTATTTAGCGTAAGTATAATGAAACACTCAAATCGATTTCGAGGGCAGCTAAAGGTCCCTCCTCATCAAGAGAGAGAAATACCTAGAAAGAAGAAAATAAAGAAGAAGGAGTCTCAGAAACACATGGTCCTTATCAGCACTGCACGTGGTTATAACTGGATTTTTAATCAGAGTTGCATTGGCCGTCTACTTTTACTGAGCCAGGGGCTATCTGATCAAGCATAAAGGACAAGAAAATTAGCGAAGTTAAAATAGGGAGCGAGGGGCAAATGCACCTTCCCGCTCAAAATCTGAACTTCAAATAGCTACCCTCGAAATCGATTGAGTGTTTCATTATACTTACGCTAAATACAAGTTTGTTTTTACGGTTTTGATTGAGAGTGACATTGTTTGCGACATGGCAATGAGCATTGTCATGCAATACAATAGAGAGATTGTTGTGCAATAATAAACGTGGACGTTTGCGCCGCATAGCCGGACGCAGATGGTGCTGTAGAAATCCGAGCAATAGTAATCTGCGTTGACAGTTTGTCCTTCAGGTACAGCATGTGTAAGAATCACACCATCCCAGTCGTATGCCATAATCAGCATAACCTTCACCCGACTGGGTTCCTGTCGAAATTTTTGTAGACATGCCGAACCTTGGTGACACCATTAATTTGATTGATGCTTTAATTCAGGGTCATAGGCTCGTGCCCATGTCTCATCAATGGCGACAATACACTGCAGAAACGAGTCTCCTTCATGGCGGTATCTCTCCAAGTGGGTGCCAACCAGTGCATACCGGTGCCATTTCGGTTAGTCGATGTGGAACCCAGTGGGAAGCAATTATTACAAGCAAACTGAGGGATTAGCCATGGGAAGCCCCCTCAGTCCCATCCTGGCTGATATCTACATGCATTATTATGAATCAAAATTGTTTGAAACTTTAAACTTCCCGGCATGGTTCCGCTACGTAGACGATACTTTTACCCTGTTTAAAGGTAATAAAGATGATTTAAATAGAGTTCTTTCAATAATGAATTCTATTGATCCTGCTATTCAGTTCACTTTTGAACTTGAGACTTGCAATTCTCTTCCGTTTCTCGACATTCTGGTCACACGTAACACATCCAACTTCAGTACTACAGTTTACCGTAAACCTTCATCGGTTTGCCTTCCACCACACTTTAAATCATGTCATCCGACTAAACAAAAGTTAGGCTTCATTTTATTCCTATGTTTTCCCGTGCTCTTCAAGTTTGCTCCTCCAAACTAGCCCTTGATGAAGAACTAAATTATTTAAAAGCAATAGCAATAGCTTGACAGGGGCTTTTCACCCAACATTATTAATCAAGCAGTTAAAAAATTCTCATCTCAACACACTAAAAGCCACACCTCTTATTTTAGGAGATTATAAAAAAATTCTGTTGTCATTCCCTTCTTTCCATCAATTAGCTATAAAGTTGCACATATTTGCAGCAGAAATTTAACTTTCGGGTTGTTTACCTCCCATCAATAAAATTCCAACTTCTATACTCAAGGACCCCATTCCGGATATGAATTCCTGGGGTATTTATAGGATTCCTTGCCAGTGCGGTTTAATTTACATTGGCCAAAACTAAGAGAGCCTTAAAATTTCGCGTCAAAGAACATGAGGCATATGTTAGAAAAAAGGGAAACACAGAAGTCTTCTGTTGCTCAACATTGTTGGTCCGAAAATCACACTTTCAATTTTTCTGCTGCCAAAATTATTCAAAAAACATCTTCCATTGGAGAACTGGATTTTCTAGAGGCATTTCACATTCATAAAAATCTTTCTGTTCTAGTTAACGATCCTAATTCCAATCCAAATTTGCCTTCGGCTTTTAGAGAAATTATGTTTTAGTTCTGGTTTCGCCAACAGATGGCGCCACTTGCTTATTCTTGTCCAGGCTTTCTTATCTTATCTAAACATTATTTCCTATCTTGTTCATTTGCGGTTTTGCAGCTGAAGATGATGGTTCGGTAAAACCATCGAAACTAGTCCTGTGAAAATTTTGTGAATTAACGCTGATTTTTGTTGTTTGACTTCTGAATCAATTTTCCTCATGTTGAGAGATTTTCTTCATTATGCGCCACACTGTTTGACAACTCAAACCAACCTCTAAGGATAATTATCTGACAGTCCATCGGCAGTCTATGGTAAGGAGACCGTTCAGGATGTCAATCTGCTCTTAAGGAATGGAGGGCCGAACTGTGCGTTTCAAGTGCACAGTCTCATTCCGACCCGATAGAAATGCTTGAACTCATCGTGTTACTGTCCTATATGTTAAAGCATCTGTGCCACAGGCTTCCACTAATCCTCGATAGCATTCTTTGGCATTTTTGCCACAGGCAACCTCAATTTTAAGCCACGACCGCTGATCACCTTTTGAAAACATGCTTTAGAGCGATGGAAACGAAACTCCTCACTTTAACACCACACAACAACTACCCTTCTAAGCAGATCGACTGTTTTTTTGCACTCTACACATCGGCAACAGCGCGACCTCACTGCTCTCATATCCTATTTGCGTATGCCCGCCCTTCTGCGAGTTTCAAGTTTAAGTTGCCGCTATTTAATTTAAAATCCCCGTAATTTGAAAACTCAATGGGTGATTGTGAGATGTGAACAGGTACTATGACCTTGATTTTTTAATCATTTAATCATTTTCTGTGTAGGAGCTATACACGTATTCAATTTCAAGAAAAACAACCACTTCCTTCATGGTGTTTCGATTTTTTGAAAAAGAGTGTAAGTCTTTGTGTTGAAAATTGACTCGTCTTATTTATTTAAAAAGGTCTTAGTCTTATTTATTTGTCCACATTTATCAGGCTGTAGGCTATCATTTCACTGTGATGTGTGCAATCATCTAATGGTACTGTATCACCACATCATTATAAAGTATATAACTAAATATATTTAATATTATGTTTAAATAGTAATCTGCATTGACAGTTTGTCCTTCAGGTACAGCATGTGTAAGAATCACACCGTCCCAGTCATATGCCATAATCAGCATAACCTTCACCTGACTGGGTTCCTGTCGAAATTTCTGTGGACGTGGCGAACCTTGATGACACCATTCATTTGATTGATGCTTTAATTCAGGGTCATAGGCTCATGCCCATGTCTTTTAATTTCTTTTTAATTTCTTTTAAAGGATGCATGAAAAATTTCAATATATAATCAGATTCAGTTTCTTCATATTTTATTCACATGCAATTCAAATTTTCGTATGCATTTTTTAAGTTAGATTTGGTATTCTAATATTTTTATGTAAATAAAATTTCATGACACTACAAGTTCAAGAAATCTGAATTTATAAATTTTAACTGTGAGTCTGGAAGTAAGTGTGCAAGAACAGGATCTAATTAAGAAAGTCTTGGGTTGTAGGCAAAGAGCTCTTTCAGGGGCCTCTAATGCTCATTTTTGTAGGTTTTGTGGGATAGGATCATGAGACTCATAGGGTGATTAAAGGGCCTCTTAACACTTGGAAACAGATATTAGCCTAGGCTGTAATTAGGTTCTGCACAAAGTATGGAGTTCTTAGTCTTGCTCCATATTCTCTTTCATAGGAAATTAGGTGTAAGTAGTGAATTTGTTAGAAAATTTATTCTTATTTGTTTTTTTACTAATTTTCATTCCTCTATTTTTATTTACTTTATTAATATATTGTTTACCTGGGAGGATGGATCTTTAAATGCCACATCAGTATTAAATGAGAATAAAGTCATTAATTTCTAAAAAACTTGAATTTTTTCAGAAATATTTTATAATTATGCAGTTATATATAAATTATAAAATTACATAATTTTATTAAAATATTGAAATACATTTCAATTAAGTAGTTTTTTTTTTTTTTTTTTTTTTTTTTTTTTTTCAGTTTTAAAACAGCCATCTTTATAATCAGTTTTTTAATTCAAAAATAAAAAATATATCATTCATCTTTTCAGTTGAAAGCTTTTAAACCAGTACATCGGAATGTTAGGAAAATTGTTGTTTCTACAAATATTGCAGAAGCTTCACTCACTATTAATGGAATCACATATAGTAAGCAGTTTTTTCCCAACTATTGAAATTGTCTTTGTTATTCTGATGTTTGTATAGAATTATTTACTTTTTTAACACAAATAATGCTTTCAGTTGTAGATTGCTGTTTTGTTAAATTGAAGTACTTCAACCCACATTCCTGCACTGATTCATTAATAGTCGTGCCAGTATCCCAAGCATCTGCTGAGCAAAGATCTGGTCGAGCTGGCAGAGTGCGATCAGGAAAAGCATACAGACTTTGCACTGGTATTTAAATATTCTGCTTTAATATTATATTCTTCATACAGATTTCATATTTAATTAAACACGAAAAGTGAGATCCCATATATCTGATTGCTACACATATGTAATACAAGGTGTTTCATATTGAATGGACAAGAAGAACAGCATACTACAAATTCTGTAATTGATTTATTAACCCAAAACAAATTAATTCTGAAATTTCAATTATACACATTTTATATGGCAAACGGCAAAAAATCTTCCTTTTATGAAAGGTATTTTTGGTAGAGGTAACTCTTAATCAAAATGGTGTCATCCATGCAAGAGAAAGCATACTGTTGTGGGTTACCGGCGGCAGGTACCGCTTCTGACTCCATATAATGATTAGTAGATTTGTGAGGTTATGTAATACTGCATTTTTGAACTGAAAAACATATTTATTACGATTACAAGAAGCTCTTTATATATGTATGTGATAAAATGTAATATGTGATAAAACGTGCAAGTAATGACTAGCAGAATTATTGATAGCATTGAAGTGTTGATTCATAATTAATAGGAAATTGGAGGCGAAGGCAGATTAAATCTTTATTTTTTATTTCAGCAAACATGTTGTGGCCACAAACAAGTTGGCACATTAATTGTGCCTCTTTCAAATAGCTTACATTTTAGATAAATTTGCAGTAAGAAAGAAGGAGCAGACAGATAGCAATCCAGCTAGGACAAAGCTTAGAAAGCAAATGTGTTATGTTCAGGGTGAACTCTTAATTCAGGAGTCATATGACATGGATTAATCTAGAAATCACACAGTGCAGAGAGAGAGGTTACTATTTTTTGACTTGAGAAAGGAAATTTAATTGCTAATTTAATCTTCTATATATTCTTTATTTTTCTTACATATATATACATAATTCATGGATAGTATAGAATAATTATTGTAGTGAAGTATAGTCCTGGTGACAAGAGGAATCTGCTAATGAGGGTCTCTCTAGTTGAAAGTTCAAGAGCGTTCTTGTGTGTTGTTCTGATAGAAAACATTTTCAGACTGAATTAGCTATGTCTCCTTAATCTTTCAGTAGTATTTTACATCCTCTGATTCATTATATCTGGAACAATATCAGAGGAAAAACAAGATCATTTATTTGTCAGCCCTCCTGAAATTGAGGGACTCTGATGATCGAGGGACACAGTACAGAATGTTAAAATCTCTTGACACTAATCGTGAAGTTATGTCTCTAGTATTGTTCACTGGAGAGAGTTATTGCATCCGCTATGTCAGACCATGTCGTATGACATCTCGCAAAAGCTTGAAAACAGTGACTTGTGCAGACCGCTCACACGGTTTTTCTCATTTCTATGTAGTCCGCTGCACTGTATTTTGGAATATGCCAAAATATCATCATTTATCATCATTCAAAGACGCTTTAATGCAAAATTTGGTACAGATTTACTGCATCATCATAGCCTTAGTAATTCAACTAAGTATGATAAAGTGCACAAAAAAAAAAAAAAAAAAAAAAAAAAAAAAAAAAAAAATCCTTCAATTAGCTCCTTAAAATGATGTTTATTTTAATTAGATGTAACTAGATATACTAATGTAAATATATTGTTTGTATGAAGTACAATGTACAATGAAAGTTTGTATGTATGTTCGAAGTAATTATGTTATTTCAATCTGCCATAATCCAACTTTTGTTAATAGGTTAATTTCTTTGCAATAATTGTATACTATGTAATTGTATATTCAATACGTAAGTCTAATATTAATGTAAAATTACTATGTAAATGTCTTGGTAGGCTAGCATCCGATGCGGGCCAACTAAAAGCCCAGCGGGGTACAGTAGTGCGGCGGAGCAACACCTGTAAAAGTCACTGACGAAGTTCTGGTGCTCCGTCCACTTTTCCCTGTCCCTATCCCTGCATCATCATAGCATTAAAAGGTGGGTGAAGCAGTTTCAGGACATGGTCTGCTAGTGTAAGAAAACCAGCCCAGAATGAATGGCAGGCAAAACCGAAGTGTTGGAAACATTTATGAAACATTTTTACAAAGTCCCACAAAATCAATATTCATGTGAGTTCTAAACTTAATAGGCCTCATGTAACAGTGTCATGTGTGTTATCGCATCATCTACAATTCTGGCCATACACCTTTCAGATGGTGTAGGCATTAAAACTTTCTGACAAATGACTGCATAAAGCTTTTTGTGAGAATTTGCAAGGAAAGCTGGAGTTAGATGGTTTCATGAACAGACTTGTGTGTATGAAGCCACTTTTCATGCTTCTGGTGAAGCTAATTACTATCATTTACTTTTGGAGCATGGGAAATCCGAAATCCACATGTTGTAATGGAACATCAGCATGGTTCTTCAAAGATGAACATTTTCTGTGCAATTTCCAACAGTTGTGTTTTTGGTCCCTTTTTCTTCGTTAATTGATTAATGGGTGCCTTTACCAAGATAAGGTATCAGAGTGGTTGTCCCCTCAGTTGATGGAAGTGGTTTCCAGCTTTGTTCTGTTGCAAGATGGTGCTTCACCACATTGTCATAAAACGTATGCCAGTACCTGAACAATAGTCTATTTCATTGCAGGATTGGCTTTGCTGGGTCAAACAATATGCCATTGCCTAGTTGGTCACTGAGATCTCCAGATCTGACCCTTGTGATTTCTTCCTATTTAGGATGTTTAAAAAACCATGTGCATAATAAAGACCATTATTATTAATATTGTGTTTTATTTGCTTATAAACTGTTATTTCTTATAATATACGTATAAAATAGTGTTATAAATCATATAATAGGAAAAAGATGAAAGTTTGTTTTAACAGATATATATTTAGTGTGCATCTTTCACATCCTAAGCCAATAAATGAAGTTTACAAGAAAGTAATTTTGGTTTGCACAAATAGTTATTGCTCATTATAGTTAATTGCTATTCTAATTCTGTCAGTCATGTAATTTGTTTTTGAGGTTTGGTCGCTGACACTTTTAGGTTTTTATAGAAACAAATGCTATTTATTTTTGCTTACAACTGTTAGTTTATAGTCAATTTTAACTAGGAATACAAAAATAAACATTTACATATTTTACTTTTTTATTTTCATAAGGGCAAGAAAGCGGCTGTGGCTCACAAAGAGATATGTGAAGTTTATGTTGTTGATTGCTTAATAGAAACACATATGTCAGAATTGGTTTGAAAAATTTTCTTCTGGAGATTTTTCACTTGAAGATGACTAATGTTGTGGCCATTCTTCTGGAATTGATGGTATCAAACTGACAGCCATAATTGAATCCATTCGTCATATAACTGTTCTAGAGATTGCTTTTGTGAGCACTTTATTTTGTTCTAATTCTATTTATATTCAGTTTATATCCCATTATTTTATAAAGTGGGCATAACATTATTATAAAATTAAATGTCAGATTGTATCCCATTAGTTTATGAATTTATAGCTCATTTTATAAAATGTGGATAACAGTGTAAAGCATGCATAAAATTAAATGTGATATGAAAATATTTATTTTTTATATTTTATAATAATTTAGTAGGTTTAACTGTATGGAAGGCATTGGTGCCTGTTTTTCCTTAACCGTAGGCCAAAAGAATGGAATTTAATGTTCCTGTGATGATGAACTTAGTTTATAATGTTCAAAGGGTTACTTTTTCTATGGGATATTGACTAAGTAAAACATATTCAAGAATCTTTAAAAAGAAAAATTTGAATTAATAATGTATCTGCAAAGCAGGAAAGATTTTTTTAAAGAGCCAGATGGATCACTTCTGTGTAAAATTCTATAGTGCTAGGCCATAAAATGTTGTCCTCTTCATCCCTTTAAGTAGCCAGTTTGATTTAGCTAATTTTGGAGTTCTTTGTAGTTAGCTTAGTCTCTATTTTTATTGTCTAAAAGACAGTCATTTTGTATGTCAGGCAGTTAAATGTAGAATAACATTTTATTATCAATTACAATGTAGAACAACAGATAACAAAAAAGCATCTTATTATATACTTTTCTTTCAGAAAGTATCATGAGCATGCTTATCTGTTAATTTTCTGTATATTTTTACATTTAAAATACTATGAAAATAATAACTTCATTTTATTACATTATCTAGAACAAGACTTTTTGAAACTTCCTCAGTTTACTGTTCCTGAAATGCAAAGAAGTAACTTAGCTCCAGTCATATTGCAACTGAAAGCACTCGGAATAGAAAACATATTACGGTTTAATTTTCCTTCTGTAAGTATAATTTTCATAAGCATTTTGACTATTATAAAATGATATCCATATGCCTTTTCTAAAACTTTGCATTCTTTAAAGTTGTATATAGTTGACTGCTGCTTCAAAGTCTTAAGATGTAAAGTTAATCAAGTTTGTCTTATAGCAGCAAATATATGCCAAATTTTGTATCTATTCAAATAATAAGAAATCCCTGATAATATTTTTGCTGATAAGAAAAATGAATTAATGAAATATTTGTTTTCGTAATTGAAAATCTTTGACACTATTAAATTTATGTATGATACTGCTTATATTTTAACAGCAACTATTGTTTTCCAAACTGTTATGCGCTGCATCTAATATTGTGTTTGTACCATCTTATATTTTAAGATAATGGTATTTTTTAGATTTTAAATTATAAAGTCAAAACATAAATATTAATTTAATTAAAAAATATTAATTTATTTTCATTTTTTGTTTACTAACATTCCTGTTGTTAATTTTTCATTTGTTGACTATGTCCCAATCAGTGTATTGGAAATGAAAATTAGAGCATTAAGTAAAAAGGATTAAAAATTGTGCTAAATATGATGAATAAAGGTAATGTTTTTTATCTGGTAACATAGTTTATAGATGTTAGAAACTTCAGTAGACTACATGAAAATGATTTTTTGATTACAGTGTAACTTCACATAAATTGAAACCAGAAATTCAATTATATACCCTTCAAAAGAGTCAACTATACATTATTTAGGAATGTAGTTAAAATATAGTTTTCAGATTCTTTTGTCAAAAGTAAACTAAAATGCATGCAGCATTTAATATTCAAGTAAATAGTTATATTTTTAATTGTTACATTATTTTTCACAGGCTCCACCATCAAAGCATGTTATCAGTGCAATAGAACTTTTATATGCTCTTGGTGGTAAGGGAAATGTTTATTTTTTAACTATTATTATAATAAAAATATGACTTATTTATCATGCAAATGTTAATTTTTTTAGTAATAGTAAGAAATACATTAATTTAATTGTATTTTTCATTCTATTATTTATGAAAATAAAGCATTGGATGAAAATGGTAGTTTAACAAATCCCCTTGGATTACAAATGGCTGAATTCCCTCTTCATCCTATGTTCTCAAAGATGTTACTTATTTCAGGTTAGATTATACCTGGTTTTGTATTTTATATTCTTTTAATAATGGTAATGTGATAAGCTATTAATCATCATAAAGCTAAATTAGTTATAAAAATAATTTGTTTCCCTTATCTTTGTTGAAAATATAGGTGAGTTTGAATGTACTGACGAAGTTCTGACTATTGCTGCTATGCTACAAGTTCAGAATGTATTTATGGTAGCACCAGGAAAAAAACTGGAAGCAGTAAGTGGGAAATAATATGGTACTTATTAGTTATCCTGCTGTATCATTTCTTGGTAACAAAATATCACCAGTGACAATTTAATAACCCTTCTATAGCTTCTGACTTCATCTGCAGCATGTTCTGTAAGCTATACTTCTTGTTATTATTAATTAAATGCTTTGCTGCTAAAGAGAAGAAAAAGCAAATCAAATTCATGTACTGAAATAATTAAGAAGAAAAAATGCAAATGATTATGCTAAAAATGTCTTTTTTATAACCTGTTCCCCCAGGGAAAAAAAAAAAAAAAAAAAAAACAGTTCACCCTACTATTAAAACCATCATTTACTTCCAGTTCTGTTGCAAAAAGTTAGCTACAAAATGTCACCAAATCGTATGTGCAGCTTTAGGTGCTAATGTTGTATCATATAGCGCTGTGAAGGTTTGGTACCAAAAGTTCAAAAACAACGACTGTGACATTACAGAAGCAAAGTGCTCTGGCTGGCCTATTGCTGTTGATGAGAACTTGTGGAAGACAATCAGTATGCAACTACTCAAAAGGTTGCTAAGGAGTCAGACGTTAGTGCCATGTCTATTAGTAGCACTATGCATTGCATAAACATTATGTAAAAGTTCAATCACTGGGTGCCATGTAAGCTAACTCAAACAGATAAGGACAGATGTGTTTGGGTCTGCACTAATCTGCTTGAATATCAATGCAAGGACAAAATTTTGGACCCGATCGTCACTTGTGATAAAAAGTGGATTTACTTCAACAACATAGGCCAAAAAGAGGATTTCGGTCTGCACCCGATGAGCTCATCGGCAGCATCACAAAGCACAATTTGACTAACAAAACGATCATGCTTTGTATCTGGTGGGATTGCTATGGTGTTATCTACAAAGAGTATTTGGAAAAAGGTAAAACTCTCAACAGTAAGGTATACAGCAAAATGCTAGTCTGTGTTGATGCTGCTATCAAGGAAAAAAATGCCAGACTGAGTTCCAGTGCAAAAAGGTAATATTCCATCAAGATAATGCAAGACCACATGTGTCTGCATTTGGATTCTGTATGGACTTGAATGGGATCTTTTGCCACACCCACCATATAGCCGCGACATTGCGTCTACTTTTTTCACACCTGCAGCGACATCTTGCTGGCTTAATCTTCCATTCTGTACAGGACATCTGAAATAAGATTGATCAGTTTTTGGACTTGCAGTCACAAGGTTTCTTGGCTGAAGGCTTTGAAAAACTACCAAAACGTTGGCAGAAAATCATAGATTTGGGTGGTGATACTATCCACTTTAAAAATGTACTACTTTCATGTTTTTTCTTCCCTAACTTTATTAAGAACGTTTTTTGGCGGAAAACGTTCATTACAACTTACTTCTTCATTTACATTTACTTATGTGATCTTATATTTTTGCTTTTCATTTATAATTCCTGAAGTGAAAATGCTGTAGTAGTTAATTTCTCTTTAATTAATCATGTTATTAGTCCAAAGGGGCTTTGTCCCTGAAGGACTATTGTTTTCATTTTGCGATTTTGCATTGAATCACTATAAATGTCCTTTTCATTTTTTCAGACTGTTTCCACCAAATATTCGAGTCCTGCATTATATTTGAAGAAATTAAATAATGAAAAATCTGCATAAATGTATGTTAATTTCTCGCATTGAGATAAAACAACGGTACATAGAGTCATCGAAATTTGAATGACGTAATTCTACTGCGAATATGGGCATGTGGAAGCCCAAATTTGAAATTTGGAATTTTATTATTGATTTCATATTTTGTAAAACTTTAACAAATTTTTTATTATCAAACTCAACGATTTGAAAGCAAGCAATGGCAGCAGTCTACAGGGGGGGGGAACTCCAACACGCAGAACTGTGTATCGGAAATTCTAAAGATAGGCTCATTTTAAAATTATTTTGCGACAGTGCTATTGAACTGAAATTTATGGCTTTTTAAGTGTGAAGAACATGATATTAAATAAATAAAGGTAACACACAAAGTGTTAACGTTAAAATGCCCCTTTAGACGTAATTTAAAATCCTTTCAGATTAAACCTTTACAAATCTTTACAAACAGATAAATCTTTCAGATTCAAAAAAAAATTTTTTTTTTTAATTATTGTCTTTTTTTACTTTTGTGTGTCATAAAACACTATCTTTAAAATAGTGTCTTTTTTTTCCCTTATAGAAGCGTGCAAAATGGAAATTTGCTGTGGAAGAAGGTGATTTTCTCACCTTCCTTAATGTGTATAATGCATTTATTAAGGTAAGTATGTAATTTTGCTCAGTATTGTAAAACTGTAATAATCATAGAAACACTTAAATATAAAATATTATTCCAATCAACTTTTTCAAGTTTATATTTTAAGCTATTTAATGCAACTTCACAGCATATTCTACAGAGGATGTTCACATATTTTAAAAAAGATTTTGGGGACATTAATTTAAAAAGATTTTTATATTTAAAATTTGAAGTATTTTTATAAATATTCGATCTGATAGCCTTTTCCTCCTGGACTATTAAGTCTGCATTATCAGTTCCATGATAGAAAGACTTTTCATAAAATTTCTGGGAGTGTACTGATTGCTATTCCTCCTCCACTGCTTTCCAGAGTCCATCTATTATGGCACGTTTGCATTTACAAAGAGATTTTTTTCAAGAAATCACAATTGTCCATAGGTAAGACATCAGGGGACTTTGCAGGAGTACATTGAAAAGTTATATATGCAATACCTGTATCAGTCTGCATTTTTTCAAGTAATGCAGTAGTACTTTTCAAAGTGTGACTTGTTGTTTTCGTTTCAGGAAGCTTCAAATGAGCATTTTTTCTTTGCATTGATAGAACCAGGTTTGTGCATTTTTTTCCTCTTCCTTTCAAATAATAAATAAATCTTTTTTGTTGAAGTCATTTAGATAAACCCATGCTTCATCACAGCATCACAGTGGCATTTATGTCCTGCTAAATTTTTTTCATACAGGGTTCCATAAATTATTTTGCACATCATAAAACATGTGGAGAGTTCCAATTCTTAATTTCACTTTACACTAAATAAAACACCTTGTTATTGAAGAAGCAACCATTTTAGCATTAATTTGTATGATCAATAACTTGGCTCTGCAGCTGCATATCTGCTTGGCATATTACATCTGAGACCAAAACATTCTGCATAGAAACATCCTTGATTTTACACCTACTGATATTTTATATCCCTGATGTTAACCTCTCTGGCGAATCATTATTTATTATATTTAGCTTTAATCACCGCATGTTTATCAACACATGACAACTTGAGTAATGACTCATGTAATGATGCCTAAACATTTCTTTATATTAGTAATTGAATAACAAAGAGTATGGTAACCTTTTATGTTGACATTATGCTTGGGGAAGATTACAAATTTAAGTTAAATGCGCTAAGAAATGTTGACAGGAAAATTTTAACAAACATATCTTTCCATATGCTAGAAAAAGGATTTTGTTAATGATACTTATAGGCCAAAAGAATACATTTCGTACTGTTTGAATTAAGAATAACTGATTTGTTATTTGCATAAACCCAGAACCAGTGCCAGAGCTGCAGCATCGAGCAGCAGAATTTAGGGAAGACAAAGGGAGGCGCTTGGTACCAGAATTTAGGACCCGTAGAGACTGCATCAGGCAGTGAGATTTTTAGTGCCTGCCCTCAATAAAACTTAAGTATATGTGAGAATTTATTTATTCAGCACTCAGATAAGCCTTAAGCATGTGCAAGGAATAGGCATAAGTATAATAAATAACTAAACTATTATAATTCAGGCTTAATTATCTCAGTGCACGATAGAGGCAAGATAAATTTAGCGGAACAACTTGTCCTTAGTCGCCAATCTCATGATACATAGCCAAATCGGTTTTCGGATATGTATGGTGAACAATAGCTAAATTTTATGATGATAGCCGCGAATCTGAAGGTTTTCGGATATCGCAAACCAAAGGTGAAATTTTCTAGTTAACGGATTTGTAAACAAATGTGGAGAAGCGGTAATAAATGAAGATGATGTAAAAGAAGTTTTTTATTGTGATGACAATGCTCTTCAATTATTCAATTAATGGATGGTGAAATCTGTAGTATGGTTTAATCCAGAAAATACCGCTACCGATAGTGAAGAAAGAGACAGAGAGGTTACTGAAAACAAAAACATTTCGATTGACAAGTTAGTTTGAATCCTAGACACAGCAATTACCGTGGAACTTTGTAACTGAACAAGAAATTATGTCTGTCTATAGAATTAAAGAGAAAGTATTAGCACAAAAAAAGAAGCAACTTAAACAACTTGAAAGAAATGTTTAATATAGTAGACAAATGATTATTAAGGTTTTTTTTCTAAATTTTGATACCCTTTAGATTATAAATGCTTCATTATTTCATAAATTACTATTTCATATTGTTAATTTTATTATTTCTATTTGTCATCTTACTAGATTTAAACTGATAATCTAGTACAGTCAAAAGTCTTTAATCCGGACTTGTCGGGACTTCGGCGATTCCGGATTATCGATTTTTCCGGATTATAGATCATCAGTTTAAATCTGGTAAGATGGCATGCAGAAATTATAAAATTAAAAATATGAAACCGTAATTTATAAAATAATGAGCAATTATGATCTAAAGGGTATCAAAATTTACAAAAAAAGAAGCTTAATATTTATTTGTTTACTTTATTAAACATTTCTTTCAACGCACGCATGCGTAAAGCATACATTACGCATAGCCGAAATTAGAAAATTGCAACCAGAAAACTATTTGATTTGTATTCGTGATATTTATAACGACGAGGAATTTGATTTAAATCATATCAAAGACGGAGTCATCGAGATAAAATACTACATTTAGTAAGGAATTATAAGCCGAATGAAATAAAAACATCTGCTCTGAAGATAACGATAGTGCTGACGGATCAACTTCCAGTTCATTGCGCTCCGCGACATCCCCCCCCCCCGTGCAGAGCAGTGTGAAATTGATAAACAGATTTTGGAACGGTTAGATAAACAAAGGATATGTCTTTATCCATTTTTTGTAGCAATTCCACTTTTTGTTTGATGGACATCAAAACATACTTTCGTTTTGTAGATCCTTTGGAAGCTCCAGCATCGGAAATTCTATTTGACATAATCGAAAGTTCAAGCTTACTTTTATAAAATTGCTCTTACAGTCTGCAAAAAATAATAAGCCGAATCCAATTCGAAGATTAAGGAACAACGCAATCATCAACATTAACTGAAATAGATAATTAGATAATTTTAGCTTATACCATCCGTTATACATTAAACGTGCACGCGAAAACGTATTCTGCGCTTGCGCAGACGCATATGCGCAGTTGTAAAGGTCTTGCACGCACGCGTAAACGCCTATGCGCATGCGTCAGCGCGGCGCATGCGCATAATGCTTTTAGCTTTGAGGTCCGAATTAACGACTTTTGACTGTATCTGGAAAAAATCCCAAATCCAGAATCACGCAAGTCCCGACAAGTCCAAATCTCGGACTTTGTACTGTATAGCATTGTTCTAATTTAGGTATTTTGACACATAATCAGACTTCTTCTGAAATGACATGCCAATTTTTTTCATATTTCGATTCTACAACTCAAATTATGCCAAACTAGCAATTTTTGTAAAAATCGCACAAGTAGTTTTTAAAAAATTTGCTCTCAAAATTTTAGCTCCTCAATGTTAATTGAAATTGATATATATTTATTAATATCCCTTTTTTTTATTAAACTTGATTCCTCAAAATTTAGGTTCATTCCAAATAAAATTTGTCTATTTTTTTATTTATTTTTAAAATTTGTATTTTAAAATAATTTTTATAAATTTTTTGAAAAAAATTGAATTATAGCCTGTAAAATGTTTACCGTCATCTGAAAGTAGATGTATTTCTAAGCATACCTGCAAAAAAAAAAATTTTTAGCCCAAAGGGTGTTAGCCAGAAGGCCTATTAATTTCGTTTTGGCATTTTGCATTGAAAACTTTAAATGTCATTTCACTTTTCAAACTGTTGCCACCAAATATTACAGCTCTGTATATTATATTTAAAGAAATTAAATAATGAAGAATCTGCATAAATTTATGTATGTTTCTGGCATTGTGACAAAATGACATTACCTAGAGCCGTCAAATTTTGAATAACACATGTGTTCACCTGAATATGGGCATCCAGAAGCCCAAATTTGGAATTTGTTTTATTATCTATTTCATATTTTTTCATCTTTAACGTATTTTTGATTAACAAAGTCAACAATTTCAAACCGAGCAATGGCAGTACTGTACGAAAAAAATTTTTTTATCTGCAGTGTGCGAGACTGTATCAGAAATTTTTAAGATATGCTCATTTTAAATTTATTTTGCGATATTGCTATTGAACTGAATTTTATGGTTTAAGGGCAAAGAATATGATATTTAATAAATAAAGGAACCCACAAAAAGTTTAAAAAATGCCCCTTTTGAGCATTTAAAATCTGAAAGCTTTCAGAATTTTTTTTATTACAAATTTCCTAGGATATATGTGAATTAACATATTGGCGTATTTTGAAATTTGGCATATTTATTATAAGCGATAATAATGCTAAATGTGGTTTACGTTCTTTGTTAAAATTATTTGAAATAGTGAATGATGACTTTTTTCCTGCTTGTTTACAATGAAAAAAAGGAAAGGAAAATAGGTTGCTACAACTTAAGAAGTTCACCAAGTGAATTATTCTTGGCACAAACTGAAAAAACTGCGGCAAGATAAATTTTTGAATTTCTTCCTAAATTTTGCACCAACTTTTACAAAAAATTTAATATTTAGGCATAATCTGAACCATACAGTTGAAATATGGAAAAAATTCGCATGTCATTTCAGAAGAAGTTAGATTTTGTGTCAAAATACCTATATTAGAACAATGCTATGTGTAATTTTAATACATATCCTAAGTCGTGCTTTCAAGGCATGGAAAACGCAATAGGCCCAGTAGAACGGAAGATATAGAACTGTCCCTTTTTTTTTTTTTTTTTTTTTTTTTTTCTTTTTCTTTTTCTTTTTCTTTCTTTATGCCCTTTTATTTTGCACAGTGTACTTTTTCTGGTATTCGTTTGGAGTCTTCCTTCCATGTAGAACTAATGATTGGCAGTTTTTCCTTTCCAATAATGTTGCTTTTTTGCACGTAGAAGTTTTATGCATTTAACAGTATTTTTTAATTATGAAATAGGAAATTTCTCTTCAGAAAGCACTCAAACCCATCCTTCAATCCACAGCTTATTTACATGCAACATCTTAAAAGAAGAATAAATTTGAAAGTATTTCGCATTTCAAATAATAAGCTGTTGCCAGAAATTTATATTCCAAAACATTTGCTTTTTTTAATTTGTTACAGAAATCTTTTTAGAATGTGTAAACATCTTCTGTACACAAAATTTACAGATGTATCAGCAAATACAGAATTTAACTGATATATTAGTAAATACAGAATTTACTATTATATCAGTAAATTCTGTTTGTTATATTAAGTATGAAATAATTTCTGTTTTACATCCAAAACAAAATTAGTGATACTTGTCTCAGGTAACTGAATATTAAATGAAGATCGAATTTTATTTAATTATGGTTTACACAAAATTATTTTATTCAGTTCCAGTTTGAATCATAAGCATGCTGATTCTTAAACTTAACTGCTGCATACAAGAAGAAAAATATATTACTTATGAAATAAGAACTGATAAATACTGTTAATAATTTAGCTCAATAAGTTAAAACTGGAGGAAACAGAAAAAAATTTTGAATAATAAAAAATTTTAATTTATTGCTTCGAATTTAATTTTAAATCGACATTTAATTTGACTCATATAAAGTTCTGCTGTATTTCAGTTTTCACATGTTTCTTAATATGCATTAAATTTCTTAACTGATAGTGAAATTTCATGGAAAAATGATATATTTATTAATTTATCAATTATATTTACTGTTATACTGACATTTAAATTTAGCCTTTATCATGACTGTGCTTATTGCTGCATCTATTAACTAATGTATAGATTTACTGAACCTTATTTAATCTGAAATTTTAAATGGTTATAATATTACATTTTTCAGGTTATTAGATAGTTAAATAAGTATGAATTCTTTAAAATGATGAGAATTTGTCCATTAATACCTTGATGAATTTTTTTAATATTGCTAGTTTTATAATAGTTTTATGATTTGATATAGAATAAACTTGCTATGTGTAGTTTTTAATGTTTTTATCTTTAATATGAAAACATGAAATTGCTTATATATGTGTATTTGTAATGGCAAGACAATTTTTGATTGTGCATTTATTAAAAATTTTGGCCCACCAGTTATTTAATCCTTTAATCACTAAGAGTATTTCTCATGTGCACACATTGGACAATCTATATTACACTTACAAAGAAAAAGTTTAACACATAAGCTGTGCTTCACATAGAAATCAAACTTGTACTCTTTGTTTCAGGCTAGCAATAAGCCTTTGTACCTACCATACTGTCTAGCTCAGGGGTCGGCAAAATGCGGCTCTTTGGATGTGAAGCTGCGGCTCTTTAGTTCCATACGCAAATATTATTTATTTTATCAAAAAAAAAAAAAAGGGAGAACTGAAGAAAAGCATTGAGAATTCAGTCGGCATTGGATGCATTCGTTCGCTTTCATATGCAACTTAGATGGCCTTCCGACTTGTCTCATTTGCCTTGAAAAACTCGCACGCAATAAGAAATCAAATTTAGAGAGACACTTCACTAAAAACATACTCAGTTTGCTAGTAAATATCCAGCCAGCGAAGAACGAATAAAAGTTGTCGATGAGCTCCAAACACAAAAACAGCAATTAAGTTCCATGTTAAGTAACTCTATTATCGTCAGTTTAAAGAATTCTTAAGCAAAATGGAGACTCGGTATTCCGACCTCCTTCTTCACAATAAAGTGCGATGGCTTTCCAAATGAAAGGTGTTGAAACGTTCTGCTTTGTGCTTGAATGAAATAAATACATTCCTAAATGAAAAAGGGCATTAATCACCCTGAATTAGAGAACAACAAATGGTTGCAAAAATTTTTACTTTATGGTGGATGTCACAGCGAAATTAAATGAGCTGCATCTAAAACTGCAAGGAAAGGGAAACCCAGCCTATGTTTTAGAAGAAGAATTGGTTTGTTTTGAAGAAAAATTAATTCTTTTTGCAGAAGATATTCAGAGTCTTAAATTACTTCATTTTTCAATTTCTAAAGCAATATCGCGATAAACCCAGTGCTACTGTTGATACGAATTACTTCAGCACAGTCACAAAAAAATTAAAGATGAATTTGCTGACAGATTTGAGCAATTCAAAAACAACAAAACCACTCTAGCATTCATAGTAAATCCTCTCAACACAAATAGTAACGAAATCCACATTGAGCCATTTGGAATTGATGCTAAATCTCTAGAAATGCAATTGATCGATTTAAAAAGTAAAGCTCTGTGGAGTGGAAAATTTACAGAGTCTAAAAGCAAGTTGGAAGAGTTGGAGGTCCAGAAATGAATGTACGTAATGCAACAAAAGTGGACAGTTTCAAAAGAAATGCCGCGAGTTGAGGCACTTATATTCGACGCATGAAATAGTCTTGCAGATTGCTACAGTGAGGTGAAGAAGTTGGCATTGGGAGTGCTAACTATCTTCGGATCTACATATTCGCACGAGCAAGCGTTCTCTTGCATGAATATAATTAAAAGTTCAGTAAGAAGTCAACTAACAAATAAAAATTTAGAGTCGTGTTTGAAACTTAAAAACAACCAGTTATGAGCCAAATTTATCCAAACTTTCTAAAACCATGCAAAGCCAATGCTCCCATTGAATTTTTTTGCTCAAATGTACGTTATTTTTTTTAAAATTTTAATTACAAGTTACATTGCGTAGTAAAGTTTAAATTTTCTACTTGAATAATCATGCAAAGCCATCGCCCCATTGAATTTGTTTGCTCAATTTTTTTTTTTTTTTTTATTGAAGTTAGTGTTGTAAGTAAATGTAAGTGCTTTAATTTTTTACTTAAATAATAATTATCTAATAATGTCATACATATATTATCTAATTTGTTGTGAAAAACACTATTTATATATGAATAAATAGATATTTTTCTTATGAATAAACAGATATTTTTTTCTTATGAATAAATAGATTAGTTTTTGTTTATCAAAAAACTTTATGCGAGTACTATTTATTGTCGGCAAGAAAAAATTTGGTGGCTCTTTAAAAACTTTGAAATTTTGTAAATTGTAATTTTTGACTTCCGACTCAAAAGGTTGCCGACCCCTGGTCTAGCTGATTAAAAAAGCATTTAAGTCTAGCTGGTTAAAAAAATTATTTCATCAAAAATATGTCTTTTGATGTGGTAAAAAATACATTAGAATATCTCAAAAATGAATGTTGTTTTTATTAATTTCTTAAATTATGATAATTTAATGGGTGTCGTATGTCATAGATCTATCAGCAACTAAGAAATACATTTGAAAAGACCTACAAGAATGCATAAATGATTAATTAATATATGCAGCATACATTAAATAAATTCATAAAAACTGGCTATCTCCTAACTTATCTTTAAACTTGAAAAAAAAATTATGTAATGAAAGTACAAATATCTTAGACTTAAAATTTATTTTTATTAAGGTTATTGGGAAAACTTTACATTTTTGAAATCAATGTTTTGTTATTAATCTTTCCTCTTTGTTATAGAATATGAACAAGCACTGGTGTGAAGAAAATTGTTTGAATTATAAAGGACTTTTAAGAGCTAAGGAAATAAGATTACAGTTATTCAAACTTTTAAGAAAATTTAAAATGCCTACTGTTGTAAATAAAAGTGAGTTTTTAATACTTTTAGTTGTATTACCTTTGATAACAAATATTGTTTTTCGAGAAACAAAATGTTATTTATACTTTTAAAAAAGGCAAACTATGATATTAATACATAATGTAAATATGTGTTTTAGAATATAGTTTCTAATTTGATATTTAGAAAATCTCATATGCATGTATGTTTTTTATATTTGCCATAAAATTTTTACAAAAAACTGAAATTTTAAACTCTGAACATAAGAATATCCTATAAAAGAAGCAAATAGTTCAAATAGTAAACGTTTTTTGTTAAAAAATAAAAATTTGTTATTTTAATCTGAGACAGATATTTTTTATGGGTCATTCAATATTGTTATGTAATAAACATTTTATCTGAATATTTTCTCTATACTTTATATTGCTTTTATCAGATGAGTAAAAAATAAGTATTTCAGTGCAAGAGATGCTGATCAGTTGAGATTCTAGTAAATAGTGAAATTCGGTCTGAAAATTTAGTGTTACTTTCAGTTAAGGAAGAACAAACAAAGAAATATTTTAAAGGAAGAATATTAATCTTTCTTTATTGGAACCCGAAATATATTCTGCCTTTAGAAAGGAATGAAATCTTTTGATATAACTACACTCCTGTTTGTGAAAATTGCAACATTATGAAAAGAATGGTACAAATAAATTAAAACTTACAGGAAATACAAAGTGAAATGTGATGTATGAATGGTTAGAATTTGAGTGGTAGCTAATGCATGGGTTGAGCTGATATTTTAGCTATATAAAAAGAGAACTATATTGGAACATTGCCAGCAGTAAGAAAAAGACTTGCTCAGAAGTCCACAAAAATTATTCTTAGTGTGGACCCACAAAAATACACCTGTTATAAGTAAATTGGGTTGTTTGAATTAGTGTAAACAATTGGTCTGCAAGAAAGAGCACTTTGAATGGGACATAATGAATTGTCAGTAAGTGGTCACATAACTAACAGGGACATTAAGCTGATATGGGCATTTAGCTGACAAAGACGTGTAACTGATATGGACATATAGTGACATGAGCATTTAGCTTATAGGACATTTAGCCAACAAGACTTTTAGCTGACAATGCATACATGTAGATAAAAAAGTACAACAGTGCTTTAGTAAAATTTATCTGTAATTAGCTGACAAAAGGTTGTTCTCAGGATACACAGTGGGAAGGTTTATGGACAAACGCCAATTTTTTTTCTTTTCTTTCAGGCTTAAATCTTTCTGCTTGGCATTTTCAACATGTCACAAGTTAAGCCCACAACAAATTTTAAAAATGATTCTTTCAGTGGTTTTTTATCAAATTTCAAAACTTATATTTCTAGCTAGCAGAAAGATTGCCCTTTGTCAGTTTAGTGTATATGCCACTTCATGATTACATTTATGGTCAGTGCTTTCTTTGCTTTTGATCTGCTTTTAGTTACCAAATCCTTTTCATTCAAAGACTTAATGTACAGAAATGCTAAGAAGCATTTCATGAACTTTTTTTTATAACTTTCTGTTAACGTAGTGTATCTGTTACCAGCAAAGTTTTAAATCTGGTATTGTATATAATGCCTAAAACTAGCCAGCAATGTATGAAACATTTTATATTTCACATTGTGCGTACCGTTGTTTAAAAATAGTGGACTGTAAATTGACTTGATATTACTTCAGTATAGAACCCAAGAAACCTCAGAGTCATAATGTTGGCCGAAACTTCTTTATTAACTTTCAAACATTAAGTTGGTTGAGGAACGGCGAAGACCACACTGCAAACTCTGACTTCGGTAGCGGCTTACCACACAAACTCAGAAGAACCTCTGCTTAATTGAAACTCCAGTAATTCACAGCTACCTCAAAGCTCTAAATGCGAGCTTTAAAAACCTAATAAATTTGCGTCTGCGCCACTCCTCGGTACAAAGAAAGAAATACAATTTGCATAACATCGAACATACCCCCAGCCTTGAAGTCCCAAGGGGGTTCAAACAATAAATTTAAACTGAATAAACCTGAAAATAAAAATTAAAGTCTCTAAATCAGGAATTAAGTGGCAAAGTACATAGCTTTGCTATAGGTCTTCATTTATTTCACCATTGGAACGTGCGTAAACTCACCAATCGAAACTTTCTTCATCAAGACCAGGATACACTTTGATAATTCTACCTAATTTCCAACGTAGCGGAGGTAGATTTTCGTTCTTCATAAGAACCATATCACCAACCTTCAGATCTTGTTGTAACTTGCACCACTTGGGTCTCTGCTGCAACCTAGATAAATACTCACTGCTCCATCTCTTCCAGAAATGTTGAAATAACCTTTGCGCGTTCCTCCAACGATCACTGCAGCTCATGGTTTCTTGAATTTGGTTAGATTTTGGAATAGTGCTTAAAGCCGCTCCGGTTAAAAAGTGTCCTGGTGTTATCGCCTCCAAGTCACTACAATCACTTGAAGCTGGTACCAAAGGCATAGAATTAAGGCAGGATTCAATTTGGGTTATTAATGTCAAAAATTCCTCGTATGTTAAAATAAGTGTTCCTAAACATCTTTTTAAGTGATGTTTCATAGACTTGATACCTGCTTCCCAAAGCCCTCCAAAATGAGGGGCGGAGGGAGGATTAAATAACCATTTAATATTTTCTGAAGAAATATAACCCTGTAGTTGTTCATCACGTTGAACAGTAGAAAAGGCTTTCCTTAATTCTTTATTAGCTCCTATAAAATTCGTTGCACAATCACTGTGAATTTCACACGGTTTGCCTCTACAAGCTATAAACCGCTTAAGTGTCGCGAGGAATGATTTTGTTGAAAGATCTCCAACTAATTCTAAGTGTATTGCTCTTGTAGTAAAACAAATAAATAGACATACGTAACATTTAAAGATTTTGACTCCTCTACCAGGATGATATTTAATGTTAAATGGTCCTGCTAAATCAATCCCTACACGAGAAAAAGCTCTACTTTGAGTAACTCTTGAAGCGGGTAAATCTGCCATTAGCTGAGTTGCAGTTTGCGCTCTAACTCTATGGCAGATAACACATTGGTTTATACACTTTCTTATAATATCTCTAGCATTCACAATCCAAAATCTATGTCATATGACAGAAGTGAGTAGCTGCGTACCTGCATGAAGATACGTGTCATGGTAATGCTTAATAATTAAACGCATAATATTGTGATTCTCAGGTAAAATCATAGGATGTTTCTGATTATTTGAAACTGTAGAGTTTCTGAGCCTTCCGCCTACACGCATTACTCCCGCAGAATCCAAGAAAGGACTTAAAGACAGTAATTTACTTGATGTCTTCAAGGGTTTACCAGAGTCTAAACAGAATAATTCTTCTGGAAATTCAGCTCTTTGCACAATCCTAACAATCATAGAAGTAACTTCACAGAATTCTTCAGTAGATAAGTAACCCTTTATACGCTCTATAGGTAACTTACTACAATTATTTCTGAATCTTAAACACCACGCTAACACTCGACATAACTTTAACCATGATGAAAATCTTGAAAACACACTAGGCTCTTCAAATTTGGAAACATTTGAACTGAAACTCTTTTTCAATTCCTTCAACATAACCTCACCCTCTAATTCTACACTTGAATTTTGCTGTACATGAATTAGGGATTCGTTTAACCACTGCGGTCCCTTCATCCATAACTCACATTGTAAGAATTCTGATGGAATAAAACCTCTGGTCCCACAGTCTGCAGGATTTTGTTTCCCAGCAACATAATTCCATTGAATACCTGGAACAGCTTCCTGCATTTTTGCAACTCGATTTGCCACAAAAGGTAGCCAACGGCGAGGTTCGGACGAAACCCATGCCAATGTAACCCGCGAGTCAGTCCATGCGTAAATATTGTTAATAGTCAGTTCTATGCATGATAATACTGCATGTAAGAGGTTGGTTAAAAGTAACGCAGCACACAACTCTAGTCTCGGAAGAGACTGGGTTTTTAAAGGCGCTACTCTGGTTTTCGATGTCAGAAGGCTGACTTTGACTGACGAATCAAGGTTGATTGTTCGGAGATAGATGACTGCACAATAATCCTTTTCTGAAGCGTAGCAGAAAGCATGGATTTCTATAACTACTGCCTTCAGACTCAAGACATACCTCGGAAATTGTAAGCTTGAAAGTAAGGGCAATTCTAGATAGAAACGCTTCCATTTTCTACTTATTCTCTTATCAACGAGTTCATCCCAACCCAGCTGCAAGTTCCATAACTCTTGTAATAATATTTTTGCCTATATTATTGTTGGCGCTAACCATCCCATTGGATTAAAGATTTTGGCTACTTCTGATAAAATAGTCCTCTTTGGTAAACTCTTTATCACTTATGCATTCTGACCGAAAATGAACTGTATCACTAGAGTTGTTCCAATTAATTCCCAATACCTTTTACTTTCTTGTCACTGGATTTTTCCAAGAGAAATACTGGATAATCTCGTAAGCACTCGGGAATATTCTCTAAAATAGCTGAACTGTTTGAAATCCACTTCCTTAAGCGGAATCCACCCCTTTTCATCATTTCATTCAACTGCTGAACTAGAACATTCGCTTCCTCTTCACATTGTGCCCCTGAAAGCAAATCATCAACATAAAAATCACGAAGGACAATTTTTGATGCTAAAGGGAATCTCATTTGTTCATCTAATGCAAGTTGTTTCATTACTCTAGTAGACAAATATGGCGCACAGGCAGTCCCATATGTAACTGTCACTAATCTAAATGTACTCAAGGGCTCACTAGGACTATCCCTTCAAAGCATTCGTTGCCAATTTGTATCTTCTGGGTGGACACGAATTTGTCTGAACATCTTCTCTACATCGGCACATACTGCAATTTTGTGAGTTCTAAACCGTAGAAGAATTGGAAACAGCTCTTGCTGAACTCTTGGCCCAACCATCAAAATATCATTCAATGAAAGACCCGATGTCGTTTTAGCTGAAGCATCGAAAACAACTCTCAGTTTAGTCGTAGTACTTGATTCCTTTAATACGGCA